ATCATACTATCCTGATACATTTCTTTCAATAGTTCGTTTCTACTCCCTAATCGTAAAGAAGAATCACATTTCAGTTTTGACAGCTATTGGTCTTAGGATGCTTTTCTGCATCTGTGCCTACACATAGGCTAAGATGGGAATATTGAAGCATAATGATTCAATATTGAAGAAGCTTTATAGTAGCACCTGTTGTGATGATTAAACTTAAAATTAGAAACATGATGAAATGATGAGAAGTAATGTTTCATGAAAGACTTTTAAACAATCTTAATAGTTGTAACTTCTTTTTGAAGTGTTTCGTAGTGTAGTATTTTATTGAAGATCTGGATTTGTTAAGCTGTAATGTCAGAAAACTGTACCTTTCTATTGGTCTTACAGGCAAACTAAAGGAACTTAATGGTACTGCAACTGAAGAACAAAAGCTTACAGAAGATGACTTGATAATGCTAGAAAAGTTATTGTCTGCAACATGTAACAGCTCTGCAGAAACGCCTACACCACAACAACTTCAAACGTTATGGAGAGCGGTTAACTGGCCAGAAGGTAGACACTTGAAATTATTTTTTATATTGTTTCATCAGTACTTCCACCATGAACCAGAACACTATTGCTGGCTGTTACAGTCTGCCTCCTAGAGTCTATAACCCAAACAGAACCCAGAAGAGGACATACAGTTATTTACAGAACAGAGAATTGGTAGTTAGCAGTGAGTTTGCTTTTGTTGGCACAACAGTAAAGATAAAAGAGACACCTGATATAAACATCGATTGCAGTTATTTCATTAGTAGGAGCTTCCTCAAGACAGAGCTGTGAAACTTATTAGGAAGTAGAGCAAAGAAGTGCAAAGTTGGAGTCCTAACTTGCTATCAAATGAGAGATTAAATTACAGAGGTAAATTATAGGAAAAAGAAATATCTCAAATGTGTATCTTGTTTAGTATGGTGGAAGTTGGAAGTTTCTGAAGTTAGTTTATGTGGTCTGGATTACTGAAATAACATTCTTTGACGAATGCAAGTGGAGGTGATTTGATTTAATAACATAACATTTTCAGTACTGATGGACCAGTTGGAAAGGCTATTTTGTTTGTAAATATTCTGGAAAAAAAGGATGTGTTGCATGTACAGATAGCAGTTCATTTTAAACTGCATATTTAGCTTTCTTAAAATGGAGGTTAAAAGTTTATTAACAGGAAGAATACTGTTTTTATTAAAAATTGCTGTTCATCGGATAACATTACTTAAGCTATATTCTGTAGCGCTGGGAACTGGTGTTGGCTAATGTCTTCATATCAGACTTTATATTGTACAAAGTCTTAATTCTCAACGTGCTGCATATCTGCAGGAAAAACTGCTCAGTGGGTAGCTCAGCAGGTTCAGCTTCCTAGCTATGTTTGTAAGCTTGGGATAGTGGTGGTAGCCATGAAGAGCCAAATATATTTGAAATTCAGAGAAGTTGAGAGGAACTACTGAACAAACTAAATTTAGGTTCCTTAATGATATCCAGCTGATCAGTTGAGAATATCTTTTATTTTTCTTCTAAGTTATATCCAAAAGCTGAAGATAGCCTAAAAGCATCATTCTCCTGCAGACAGTTCTGTAGTTACACTAAACTGTAAGATACAGAGTGAGGACAAATTGATATGCTGCCTGTACAGGACTATTCAGTAACTGAGTTAAGTTTTGAGAAACGTTTTTGGATTAGTCACTATGCGTATTTTGTGTTCAGCGTTTGCCTTCAGCATTAGTGATCAGCTTTTAGGAAAGATTTCTAAGACTTGTTTGAAAAGAACTGTGTCAATCTGAAGGAACATATTTTTTTCTGTCATTACTGGAAGTATTAGTAGCATGGTTTGTCAGTGCGACCTTTTTATGACTTTTTGATAATTTGTGGTTTATCTGACTCTTTCTGCATGAAACTGTTACTGTCTGTTCTGAAAGCTAGGGATTTAAGAGTATCTCCAACAGAAATAAACTCACCAGCATGTTTGCACATAATGCAATTCTAATACTAAAACATTTTTTTTTGTTTCTTAGATATTGTCTTTCCAGCCCTAGACATTCTTAGATTGTCTGTCAGGCATCCCACTGTGAATGCGAACTTCTGTGGTGAAAAGGATCATGTGCAATTTATCCGCCTTCTCCTCAAATTTCTGAACCCTGGAGGAAAGCAAGCAAACCAGCTGTTGACACTTAGAGCTCTTTGCAATTGCTTTGTCAACCAGGCAGGCCAGAAGCTTTTGATGGAACAGAGGGATGAAATAATGACACAAGCAATAGAAGTTGCGTCGGGCAATAATAAGAATATCCACATTGCATTTGCCACACTGACGTTGAACTATGCTGTATGTTTACATAAAGTCAACAACACTGAGGGCAAAGTTCAATGTTTATCAGTAATCAACACAGTTATGGAAGTTGTTCAAGATCTTGAAGCTGTTTTTAGACTGCTTGTGGCTCTGGGGACGCTAATCAGTGATGATACAAATGCTGTGCAATTAGCTAAGTCTCTTGGAGTTGACTCCCAAATAAAAAAATATGCCTCTGTATCAGAACCGGCTAAAGTAAAGGAATGCTGTAGGTTTGTTCTTAATCTGCTGTAATTGTGTTAATTAGCACTTGGGAAATACAGTGTATGCAGAATATAACTGAGAAAATACTGTGGATGACTTGATTTGTTGTGAGTTACAGAGCAAATAAAACTTTTTACACTGTTTTTCATTTGACTGCTTTTCTGAAGTCTGCAGTGCATGGGATCTTTGCAGGAAGCCCTTCTGTTATGGCTCAGATTGAAATAGATCTGCAAGTGCTTAAAGGTCATCTAGATGTGATCCAGTGATACCATCTCATCTGCACCCAAGCCAAGTTTCCCCAATTCAGTGTAAGGACTGTTTCTTGACCACGGTGTTTGGCAGCAGAGAAGGAGCCCTGAGAGCTGTTAAGTTCAATGGTGCTCTTCATCACTTTATTAGTTATCACTGGCTGTATTAACTCTGGTCAAATATGCTAGTAAGGAAGTGGCATTCGTGTAATTTTCCATCATCTTTTTTCTACTTCCTTATAAAACCTAATAGGGCTCTTCCTGTATCTTTTTTTTTTTTTTTTTTTTCTAAACCTAGAAATAGGTGGCTTTTTGAGGGGTAGAACATTGAACTGATGTATAGACATAGTGCTTCAGTGATAAGTGAATATCTTGTTTGCAAAATTTCCTAAACCTCTACAAGTCTTTTACATGACTTCAGCTTTTAATGCACAAGAACATCTTACTAGTATAGCAACAGTCTTATTTTAAAGTATGGCAGAATATATTTAGACAATAAAAAAATGGGTTATGTTGAGAGTGGGAGGGAAACTTAGGTGTAGACTACAGACAACTGTGGAAACTAGAAATGTGCAGTTAAATTTTATGAAGTAGCTTTAACAATACCTGTGGTGAATTTGAAAAGGGGAGATATTTTACGGGTCTTCCAGCAGATCTAAGATGTTCACTTTGAAAAGGGGATATTATTTTTTACTAGTCATTCCAACTCTATCTGCTTAAAATTTAGTAAGATTACTAGTGACAATTTCTGTTTTCCTATGCATATTTTTGTGCCTGAAGGATTGAAAAACTGCATATATTACACTTTTGTTTAGGGTTAAGATAAAGCTAGGATGGTCAGTGTTCCGCATGTCTCTTAAGAAAAATAAAAGATTTAAAATAAGTTGCATTTTATATAGACTAATGGATGGGAAACATGGAGAAATGGCATATGAGCTCTTCATCACAATACTTGTCTGCATCAGCTGTGCCAGCTATGAAAGGTGTTGTGACCAAGAGCCTTTTTTTTCCCCTCAATCTCCACTAAAGTATATGAATTACTATGTTACTTCCAGCAAACCTTGTTTGCCAGATCTATGTATACACATACTCAGCTCTGTAGTTGCACTCTTGTGTCATTACAGTTCTGATGGATTTTCAGATACATACCCTTGTCAACAGCCTTGATCATGGCCTTAGCCACCATTTATTCATGTTTGATCCATTGTGGGCTCAAGCATGAGACACTCCATGACATCATTCAGGATTTACAGTGCTTACCAATAGGGGGGAAAAAAAAAAAAACAAAAAAAAAAACACCTTCCTAGGAAACTCTGAAACTATCCTAAGAAACTATCTTCAGGAAATATTTCTGTGAAATGATGTGCCTGTCTGTTGAATTTTGGTTGCCTGGTATACAATTGTTCTTGAAATTAGTTCTGACATATTGTGTGCTCTTTAACTGTGTTTGTACTTGTGCTATTCTAAGAAACCTATACTCATTTACCTTTTTGCTTCTGTTATTGTGGGATTACTCTGTTACTGATTACCTCTACATGAAAATTGTCATGAATTTCCCAGACCAAAAATAATGTTTATGTTAATAAACATACTCTGGCAACTCCAATAACTGGTATATTAAGAGATGATACAAAATGCACTTAGATTTAATTTGCAGGGAAGTGATTTGGCATAGCAGAAAATCCTTCACTGGGGGCTGCGGCAGTATGTATCAAGATAAATCAAGCTGCGTGAAAACGTTTGGATAGAAGGCCAGCTTCTGCTACAGAGTTTTGTGATATCTGGCAGTTTGGTAATTTTGCACAGAGAAATTGGGAACATTTGATTCCATCTCCACAGGAGTCTTCTTTGGAGAAGACTCCCTCACACGCCTCTGTAAGGGGGTGAAGGGGGGGTGGGGGGGGGGGGCGCAAAAGGGGGCCGGCGCCGCCATTTTGCCGGTGCCGGGGCGGTCTCGGCGGCCCGGAAGAGGCGGCCGCCCCCGGCGGGAAGCAGGCGGGGCCGCGGCCCCTCACGGCCCTGCCCGGCCCTGTGGCGGTGGCGATGGCGGGCCGAAAGTCGTCGAAGGAGAAGAAGCGGCGCCGCTCCCGTTCGTGCTGCCCCGAGGGGGCCGCGGGGCCGGGGGGCGGCGAGAGGAAGCGCCGGAGCGCTGAGTCTGCCCGCGGCGCCCCTGAGGTGCGGTGGTGGCGTGCGGGGAGGGGTTGGGAAGGATCGCTGCGGTACCTCTGCCCCGGTGGGACAGGGGAGAGGGAAGGAAGAGAAAAAAGAAAAAAAAAAGCGGGGGAGGAGTCCTGGGCTGAGGTAAAAACGGCTGAACGGGTGAGGAGGAGAGAAGGGAAGCGGAACAGGCAGTGCGGTGACAGCGCTCGAAGGGACGCTCCCCTCCGAGGGGCGTCCAGATCCCCAGCCAGCTCCTGAGCGAAAAGGGTGGCTTCCCCCTCATGGCACCTGTCTGCCCTCCGTGCTGCTGAGCGTGGTGTTGTAGGTAATGCTCCACGGCTACCCTGGGGCTGTGCCCCCCAGCTCATTGCAGCAGGGCAGACAGGCGGCCTTGGTGCTGCACAAATGCTCCTCATCCACAGCTGAAGCACTGGCGTGTTAGCCACAAATCTGAAGCGTGGCACCGTGTGAGCTGCCGTGAGGAAAATTTTCTCCATCCTGGCCTGACCCAGTCCAAAGTGATGTGAGGCACATGCTCAGAGGTGACCCAAATCACAATCACTGTGTCCTAGCCAGTTGTGCTCAAATACGAAGATAACTGCGTGACACACGATCGTGAGTGACTGTGTCTTCAAAATATATCTGATTTTTATGGTTCAGTCTTTTTTTCTGATATGGAAGATATATTTTCTCATGCAAAACTCCTTTTTTTTTTTTTTTTTTCTCCCCGGAAAACTGCCACATGGAATCGTGCAAATTTCTGTCTTAGCAAGGTAGTTGCAGATTATCGACTTGGTTGTTAAATTGCTGAGGAAATCAGATAAACTGATTTATTCTGCCTTAAAGCATGCTTTGGTTTAGAAGCAGCAGCAAGATACCTTAAGATGATAATTTCCAGTTAGTATTGAAAAATACTTTTTGTCTCTTGAAAGTTTAAAAATTTTTCCTAGTGTAAAAATGATTTCAGTAACCAAAAACATAACTGTTGTGATGCAGTTACCCTGTAAGCTAAAACAGTATTTGGAAATTCAGAAATCTACTTTAAGATGTCCCTTGCAATTATGAAGGAAAAACTACTGCTATCACAGATGAGGTGTTAAGTTTCCTTCTTTTGCAGTTCACTAGAAGATGAAAATTCTACTTGCCTTCTTGATGTTTAGGAAGAAAAATGCAGTGTGCCATCTGGAGAAAACGTGGAAGAAGCTGAACAACCCAGTGATGTAGAGGAAGGAGGATTAGATCTCAGTGTGTCACTCAAGCCAGTTAGTTTCTACATCGCAGACAAAAAAGAAATGCTTCAACAGTGTTTCTGTGTCGTTGGGGAGAAGAAACTACAGAAGATGCTGCCTGATATTTTAAAGGTAATAAAATACAGCTACTTGTATGCTGTCCACAAGCTTGAATGGTTGCGTAACATATCACATCTCTCAAGTCTAGTGGACTTCCCATCTTAAAAACTGTCTGTGTTTTTCTTAAACGAAGATTATGTGAAGTCTCTGAAAGTGAGACACTTAAGATTTGATACACTTATTTCATCCTACTCCATTTTCCACAGCTCAGCTGCAGCTGAATGCAGGCTGATTATTTTTGTACTGTCTATCTGTACTGTTTATTCGTAATGTAAAAGGAGTTTCTAATTGCATGGAGTAAATTCAGTAGTGTTGTTCAGTAACAAGTTTGCTGATTTGTTAATAAAAGTCTGACTTCTATTTATGTGTTATCTAAATTTCTTTATAAGTTGTTAATGTCTGAAATGAGGCCATAATGCCCCTTCGTGATAAACAGCTTCTGGAAGCTGTTATTTCTCTGGAATTTAATAGTAGTGCCTCTAGAGTTTTCCTGACTTAGAACATACGCTTTTTGAGTATTGAGAACAGTGGGACTTGGTGAAAATAGGTGAACGGTCTATATGGGGGAAGAAGCTTCTGCTTAAATGCCGTTTGTGCAGTGTTTGTTAACTAGTAGTTTTTCAATTTCTGTCTTAAATTTTATCTAAATCTGTGAGACCGGTTTCAACTAAGGTGAGACTTACTCATTTTAAACTCTTATTGAATTGCTTACAGTCTCTTCTGTTTCTCATATCTGGAGGAAGAAAAGAGGTCTAGAATGGCCAGAGGCAAAGGCATAACTGAATTGGAAAGGCAGTTGTCTAGTGGTGTAGAACCAAACCTGCAGTAGGATGGTGTATATTACAGTATGCTCAACACTTAATAATGTTGGTACATGTAAGTGTGCATAGCTTATTTATGAGTGTGAAATTATCACTGTTTCACCAAGGGCATACCCGGAAGTACAAGAGATGTGAAACTAGCTGGATTCAGTGTGCGGTATGTATCAAAAATGAGAAGTGGATCATAGATTACAACTTTCTTACAGTTTCTTGCTTAAGGCGTGCAATATGATGTATGATTCCTGTTTGTGCATTGTTGACACTTTTGTTTACTTTGTTTCATGAACTTGGGTTCAACAATTGGCTTTGATCTTTGCAGACTTAATTATGTAATTCACCTGCTCCTGAGTGATGGAGAATTAGGAGTGATCTGGGCTGCTGTTGTTTTACTGTTTTATGCTTTACACCTGCAGTCTGTTATTTCTACAGCTCAGTGTCACAACAGCAGTGAAAACTCGCAGGCAAAGCTCAAGTAACTGATACTGTATATTGCTTAATTTTGAAAACAATACCAAAACAAACAAACAAATATTTTTGGTGGTTGGCCCACCTACCTAATGTTCTTTGGTAGTTGCATCAGTGCATGTCAGAATAGAGAAAGGACTTGAAATCTGAGTTTCTCAGTAGGGCTGAAGAACTACTTAGCTTTCATAATTTTTCTGTCCTCAGAAATCTTAGTGGCTTGTGGTCTGTCTTATCTGTCTTCTTAGAACTGTTCCATGGATGAAATCAAAAGGCTTTGCTTGGAGCAGTTGGAGCTGTTATCTGAAAAAAAACTTTTGAAGATACTTGAAGGTATGAATGCAACTTTTAGGCACCACTGTACACAGAGAGAATAAGGAAAACAAAAGTAGTCTGCATTAAACTGCGCCTGTGTTTCCAGGTACTGACACGTATATGTATATATATGCTGGTCTTGATCTTTTAATCTTGGGTGAAATCATCCAGTAATTCTGAAGGTATTAGGGATACATTCAGGTCATAGTAGTACTAGCTTCCTTTCCCTAGTACTTAGACTAAGAACAAAGCTTTTGACTTGATGGATGGTAAAAACAAAGGCAGAAATTTAGAAGCATTGTTTGAAATCCACTTCTTTAGTTAAATTGGCATTAAGTTGCCCCCTGGTTCTCTGGAGGGGAAATCAGATGTACTGCAATACCAGTTCAACTGTATTAACAATTGCACTGGAACAATCAGTGTAGCTAAAGGATTCTTAGTGCATGCCTTTGCTCTGCTGAGACACACAATACATATACTTTGATTAAGGATATGATATTCCAGCATATCAGTATCTTACTGAATTTCCACTTGGTATTTAAGGGCCATAGAATTCATTTGTAAACAAACTGCTGTCTCCTCAATTAAGTGGAGCCATTTGAATCTTGAGTGGTAGAGAGTACCTTCTATTACTTGTCTCCTGTGCTTTATTTTTAGTGCCTATAATATTGCAGTAGCAGTATTTATCCTCTGTTTTTCCATAATATAATGTAACTGAAAAATGGCAACTGTGTGGCTAGCAGGCATCTCATGAATAATCTTTTTGATTCTGTGTAAGTCTGATTTTTAGAACATCTGTTTGAACTGGGGAGAAAACCCTTTTCTGATCTCAGTAGAGTTAATCATTAAAAAATAAGGCTAACTATGTAGCACTAATTGTACTAGATGCCTAAATTTGCATGTTTGAAATTGTGTATATCTAGGCAAGAGTGGAGCTGATTCTGATACTGACGAGGATGGAGATGGAGGAGACAAGACTGGAGGTGAATCAGTCAGTCAGTGAGTAAAAGAAAACAGTTCAAAGCTTAATTTAAAAATATTGAATGATACTGGATTTTTTTATGAGAACTGATCAACTGTAGCACTGAAAGACCTCTGCTATATCCTTAATTATATGTTTGGTTTTTTTTGGTAGAATGACAATGAGCTGTTACTGCTAGGAAGCGTTGCAGTTACATGGCCTAGTTATTTGATAACATCAGATGTTTCATAAGCACATCACTGAAATTTACACTGGCATTATTGCCCATCAGTTAATTTGTGGTAATTGAACATATGCACAATCCTTGCCTGCAGCCAAAAGTGAGGTAATGTGATTTAGGTTAATCCTCTTCAGTTGAACTAGAGCAGGTTGAACAAAACCCCTCCCAGTGAAATCCATGACCTTTGTAAAGAGTGTTTTGAGTTTAGCTGAGATGTATCGTGTTCCTTGCATCCTTGTTTCTGGTCCACCATTCCTGTCCCAGCTGAAGCAGTGCTGACGCTTGCCTGTTCCCATCTTTCCTGCTGGGGATGTTGTATTAATGTTTAGAGTTTGAAGTACAGAGGTTTCTAGCTGCTCATTCTTAGGCTGACATCTGTCAGTTTTGCAAAGGCCAACATTTTTAACCTTTTCTTAAAATACTTGTTTGTTTGTTTGTTTTTAAAAAAGACAACTTTTGTGTAGTGTATTACTAAGTCACTCCTTTAATAAAGACAGTCTTTACAGAAGTAGTTGAGGGGGAAAAGAATGTTAATAGTTATCACCCAAAATGTGTCAAATTTTGGGTCTAAATGTGTCTGTAGCAAACAAAAAGCATGTAGGAAAGCCAAAAGCTTTTTCTGGTTTGGTTGCTGACCTGTCTGCAGCTGGCCTGCAGATTCCGTGCATAAACTTAACAAGCCTTTTGAAACACAGTGGCCTTACAGGAGTGTTGGGCTGATTAAGGTATCAGTTAGCTGCTAATTTGGTGAGTTCATCTAGATTTATGAAACAGAAAGGGAAAGGTAGGAAAGACAACGATAGTAATCCAAATTTTGTGTGCTGGTCAGTATATTTTATTCAACAGAGACCTTATTTCTTTGGCTCAGAACAAATTATGAAATTATCGAATGAAGTCATTTTCTTTGATCACATCTCATCATATACCAGGTTTGTGAAAACACAAATATTGTAGAAAGTGGAGTGATAGATACTAAGACGAGTGATGCTTCAGTTTTTCTCATGTGATACAGGTTTAATACCCTGTGACACTTTTTCTTCCTGGGTTCCGTTTGGAACTCATTTGTGACCGTATTTCCCCCTTTGCATTCTTGCACGGTCTGTGAATGGTGTCAGTACGCACCTTCATGTAAACTAATTTTGCCTTTTGATCTTTACCCTCTGCTGGCTATTTAAAGTACAAAATAACAATATAAAATACTCTTTATATAAATGAATCCCTTTGATGATGATTGGTGCTTTGCAAGTGAACTTGTGAATTAAATTAGAAGAAAGCCGTGTTTACTAAGGAAACCATCAAAAATGTCCCAGGACTTTGTCTGGAGGAATTTTATGTTTTTTTTTTTTTAAGATCTAATTCAAAAGATGTTTACTATTGCCAAATGCATATAGTATTTCACATCTTAAAGAGGTATGGGAGGTTCAATGCTGCTAGATTTCTGTAAGGCAATTCTGTGAGTTCAGAGTG